GTGTGTGTGTGTGTGTGTGTGTGTGTGTGTGTGTGTGTGTGTGTGTGTGTGAGAGAGAGGCCAACCTTGGCTGTGATGTGGAAGTCCTCGTGCTCCTTCAGCAGCTCCTGTGTGTGGTGGATGCTCGAGCCGGTGGAGGTGTGTGTGGAGAGGTAAAACTCCCCGGTGTCATGAATCCACTCGAGAGCCTGAAGACACGAAAACACACACACACTGTCAGATCACAAGGGAAAGCAGTGCATGTGCACGGGCATGAAGGTATATAACTTCAGATCAGTGATGTACATTTCCACTGTACCCTACTAAATGGTGAGGGACTGAATTTCATTGTATTTCCTTTCCTGCTTGACCTTCATCCACTAAATGTATCTGCCAGATTTATTCACTTTGGAGCTCCAGTCAGATTTATTATAACATTATTTCAAAAGAATGTATCATGTGTTATTATTATAGGTTCAAATAAAATAGCATTGATCCCTTGGTGAATTTAACTAGGCACTTCCACCAGCTGCAGCATGAACCCGTTAATGCCTCGATAACTATAATCGAATAATATACTTTATACATTATTCTGCATAACAAATACTAATATCTTACTTTTTACATGTGTTTTATCATTATTAAATGCCAGTCAACTATGGATATATTCTTCTATGTACAGTAACAATATCTATTAGATCTACTAGAAGTGGAACTGAATCAAACCATAACATTTAAAATAAGCTATAAAACAAAGTGTATACATCCTTAATTTTACTTCTAATGTGAATCCAAAACAAAACTAAGTTTAATCAGGCAACTAGAGTAAAAACCAATAAACTGACCATAACCAATTCTTCAAACTAGTACTACTAATAGTATTGATGATGCGTTTGTGGCAATAAATACGTAAGACTTTTTTTTTTAAGTCCACTTAGATAAGTGGCTTTTTTAAAGTGTTGGCAGGGTAGGGACGTAATTGGAAATAAACTGAGTGTGAATATGTAAATATATGCAATAAACAGTCAATTTAATTTAAAAAAAGACAGTAGAAGCAAAGCTGAAGGATGGGTGGAGGTGTTGGAGAGGACCTCCAACTCTGTTTTTATCCAGAGGATGTTCCAGTCCCTCTTCACCCTCTTCATCCACCCCCTTTTTTTTCAAAACAAGTAAAGGTCGGAGTACTTCTTCCACCTCTGCTTCAGCGACACAAGTGTCAGTAAAATAAATGTAGGTGTGTGTGTTTTGGTGTTTGCTGTACCTGTTTGGCGCTGCGTTCAAACACCACGTACTGCTGACACTGGTCCAGCCGCCGCTTCCTCATCGTCCAGAAGTGGAGGACGCGGTTCTCTCTCTGCAGCAGCTCATTGAGGATGTCTGAAAAACAACAGAAAACAGAACAGATTCAGATCACAAGTTCCCAACTTTACAGGAAATTTGCACCAAGTATTGGCTATAAAGAAAGTATATTACATAACCATAATGTGTTGATTTAGTCAAATTTTACTCAGCACCTTGTAAAAACACCTTTATTCACAGCTCTTAATAAATCACTTTTTCCATCACTTACTTTTAACCTGCTGTTCTGGTGCTTTCACGTGGCTCATCATCCCCGGCATGTTGACGCTGTTCCTGTGCATGTACTTCAGGAAGACGTCTGCGTTTCTTCTGGCCAGAGTGCATGCCTGGTAGGAATATTAACACACACTGAGATCAGAGGTGGAACTTGACAGTATTCTAAGGAGCCATATTGATCATGTTGAACGTTACCTTGAGGAAAGCCTCCTTCTGCTCCAGGTGTTTGCTGATCATGGGGCTGACGTGGTCCGTCTCACAGTTGGGTCCCAGTTTGTCGGCTCCCCCGCACCAGTCCTCCTCTCTCTTGTACTCCTGCTCCAGGCTCTCCAACACACTGCACACCTGGGTGGACACACACTCACTTAGTCTGGAGTTATGGGGGAGAAGAAGAAGTCACATTGAGTTCTGGAGACTCCTACCTGTTCAGAGGTCTTGTAGAAGGCCACTGAGGCGTTGACCAGCTTGAGTCTGTCCTCCATCTTCAGCATGAGCTGCTGCCAGTGGGAGGCCACGCTCTCCGCACAGTCCCTGATCAGGTCCATGTCGTAGTGGTTGGCCTGGAGCAGAGCCTCGGCCTTCTGCTGGACCTGCAGCGCACTCTGGTGGGTTTTCTGCACACAGGGAAGAAGTGGAGAGAGGATGGGGTTAGAATGACAGAACATATTGAGCAATAAGGTATGTCAAATCGACAGGTTAGGGTTAGAAACTGATGGGGTGAATAAACACTGTCTCACCTCAATGGCGTGTTGAAACTGTTCGTGTTCCCTCTGCAGCTGCTCGGCCTCCTGCAGCGAGCTGGCTGTTATGAGACCGGCGTTCAGCATCGACTCGCCGTTTCGAATCCAACCCAGAACCTACAAAAAAAAAGAAAGACGGAAGCTGTGTTAAAATCTGACCAATTCCAATGTTATTACTACTTCAATAAAGATTCCAGACACAGTGGAAACCTCTCAGTACTGTGTCCGTCCGTGTTAAGCTGAACAATTTAAAATAAATAAACTACTGTGCAATGTATAATTCAAATACACTAATACATTACAGAACCTACTGTTTATAAAATATAGATTACTGTATCACCAATTATAATAAATAATAGCCTTATTATAATGTACTGTTAACAAATACAGTGTCAGAAGTGTAAATAGGTAACAGTGCTTTTTAAAAGTGTTTACAGACCTATGTCTATGCCTAGTTTTAAATATAAAATCGTAACCCTGTGTGTTGTTATGTATAAAAAGACCGGAAGTGAACACTGTCAGCAGACTACTCCAATAATATAAACTATGTATTTAAACAGTATTTGTGCAGGAATCATTCGGTCCAGAACTCTTTGATCACTTCTATGTGTTTCTGCTATAAATTGGTACATGTGTGTATATACATTTCAGCCTGCAGATGGCGCCCTGCCTCAGGTGTAGCTCTGTGTTTCTCACCTGCTTGACCTCGGCCTGCAGGTGCCTCAGCTGAACGCACTGCTCCAGGTGTCGTCGGTGCTGCTCGGCAGCCAGGTCCAGTTCTTGCTGCTTCTCGTGGAGAAACTCCAGCAGGTCCTGAACCCGCGTCGCCATGTCAACGTCCCGGTCGCACAGCAGCTCCACGCCTGCAAGGGAAACACACAGCGAGGTTAGACAGAAGATAAGGTGAAGATGGAAATTGCACAAAAAAGACCACAATATATCAAAATAGAGTTATAAAATAGTTATAAATACAACATGTTTACGTATACATTTATATATTCAGTTTAATATTTAATATTCCATCTCCTACATACTTATGTATATATAATAACTTGCTTTATATATTTTTTATTGTTAATTTGTAAATTCAACATGTATATTTTCTACTTTATTTCTAGTCTTTTAATTTGTATTATATGTCTTTATGCTGCTGCAACAAAAAATATTTCCAAAATTGGGCTCAATAAAGTAATATCTATCTTATCTTATAAATAAGAGAGCAAAATGGAACAGCAACTAAAGTAAGAAACCTTCAGTGAACAGTTATAGTGCACACTACTATGAAAATAAAAATGCTACTTTATGTTCAAATAAGTAATAATCCACATTGTTATCAGTGTTTTCTCTTCACACGTCAAATACCCAAATCTCTAATTAGTAATCACATTTGCATTAGTCCTACCAAACAAACCCCCTTTATAATAACCGCTCTTTGAATAATGTTATCAGCACGTTTCCATACACGTGACATGATGTAACCGTGCTTTGTGTGGTTTTACAGAGCACCTATTAGCATGTGAGATCACAGGTGAGTTATTATAGTTGGTGAGTGGGAGCCTCATCACAAACACCGACCGAAGCTGACCCGCGACACCTACACTGTATCAATATTATACTAATGTAGCCAACACAGAGATACGTGCAGCAGCAGGGAGCAGGAGCTGTATCCTGATGAAACCCTCAGCCTGGCGTCTGATGAGGCGACAAACATCTCTTCACCTCTACGGCACAGCGTTTGAGATTGACTAGCTTATAAAAGCAGTATCACAGGAAAAGAGAAACAAAACTACTTTAGGAATTCACAAGACATTTATACTAGAAAGAAACCTGGGGAAGGAGAGTAGAGCATGAATGAGCCTAAAACCCTGAAGTGAGTCAGCATGTTAGCACCATCGGTTCTCTCGTTTTGAGGTCACCCTTTATTTGGCCGGATTGAAATAAGATCTGTGTTTAACACAAGCTTAAAAGGTGGGGTAGTTGATTTTGGAGAAACCAGCTCGAGTGCGCTAGAATTTGAAAATACAGAGCCCCTCCTCCAACACACACAAACGCACACATGACCAATGAGGGTACGAGATAAGTTTGTGCACAGATGGAAGGCTGACAGGCAGGTAGGCCATCCAGTTATTTTAGCCGGGCCGGCTCAGATGTTTGATCGTGCTTTTTACAGCGCTACGGCTTCTACAGATGACATTTTTTTATGGATTTTTTGTCAAAGCACTTAAGATATTCATTGCTATCGGGATGTTACAGAGCATTCCCTGGAAGATAACAAAAAGTGTATTCGAGCCGGTTTCTCAATTTACCTACCCCACCTTTAAGAGATTCTAAGACGTTTCCGTTCTATGAAATAAAATACATCAGTAAATACCCCACTGGTGAATGTCCAAAAGTGCGTAAAACTAACGGCTGTTTAACGTGCCTAATTGAGATTAATGAACGTCATCAAGGCAAGACGGATTAGCTAACTTTAGCATGCGGTGGATGAGGTGTCCTGTTGACCATAAGCAGTTCCCTATCCCCCTGTGTGCCTTTGGCAGTCTCGCAATTGCATTAACTCTTTTAAAATCATAAAAGCAGTGTTAATATATAGAGGTTATTCTGCTGTAAGTATCAAATACGTGCGTTTTCCACAAATCCATTTTCAGCAGTATTCCAAAATCCAATGGTAAATCCCATTGCTTTATGACAAGGGACATCTTGCAATGCTTACTTCTGGGTTGGCCTACAAACTACGTCATCACTGCACCACCAAAACAAATTCCAACTGAAGGTAAGCTACCAAAAGAGGACATACCAATGGACACAAGGAAAGTGATTGTGAGCCGACCGCTTTGTTTTTGGTTCCTTATAACAGCAGCGAGAGTGTTGGCGTTGCACTCACCAGAGGCCTGCACCTCGTTGACGTACTGCAGCAGCTCCTGGCCCTGGTGGATGACATCGAAGGTGAGGTTGTTCATGGTCAGGGCTTTGTCAGCGTGGTGCTGCAGCCTCTGCTCGGCCAGCGTCAGATCCTCCGTGTCGAATTCTGTCATCTGACCCGTCAGCTCCTCGTTCCACGACTCCAGGTCAGAGATGATCTGAGGGAGGACAAGCGATTCCATTTGAACGAGGCTACACACACATGTATCCACAATGCTGAAAGGACAATGGATCTGAAGTAGAAACACTTCTTTCGTTTTTTTACATATTTTAACGCATACATTTTCTAAACTGTATTACAACTTTTAGCTTTTCCTAGGTAGATTGTCTCAGAGGGAGATTGTAGCACTAAGTTTGCTTCAGGACTAGTCAGATCTTTACTATGTCTAAGATTGACCACAAGTCACTCAGACACACACGGCCTCTCTCCACGCAGGCAGACTCACGTCGATGGCGTCCCTCTCGAAGATGCGTAGCTGCAGGAAGAGCTCCAGTTTGATCTTCCTCTCCTGGAAGAGCTCCTCCATCTGGGCCTGGGCCTCGTCCAGCTGCTGCAACACGCTCTCGATGTGGTTGATGGAGCTGTTGTGGGGCGTCTTGTTGCTGGAGATGGCCGAGTCCCTGCAACAGAAACGCACAAACAGCCGTCAAGACACAGCGGGGCAGGATGCCAGGAGATCTTCAAAACTGCTGCCTCAGTGGCCGACGCAGCGGTTAAACAGCAACGCAGTACTTTCAAGAAAGGAAGTTCATGTTAATTTAAATTGTGGAAGTCGGCATGAAGAAAATAGGGACAACTTCATCTTTAAAATGTGATTGTTCAATGCTGGATTTTGTAGAGTAGGCTTTTTATGTTGTGATTGCTTTTATAACATATTTTAATGTGTGTACTACAGCTTATCAGCAGATAGTCTTTATACAACTCTCAATAACATCCCACACATTATTTAACAATCTGCTGTCTTATGTGTTTTAATTTTGTTTTTGTTTTGTCAGTCCAAATCCCAAAGATAGTCAGATCTATATGAAATAACAACAAAGATAAATGAAGGCAATATTTCCATATTTGTAAGGGTGTAGCAGTACTTTCTGAAATTCATTGTATGCAAAAATACTTAGAAAAAAAATATTATTTACAAATCGCAAGTATTATTCTTGGGTCAAGATTACCCCTCTTCTAAGCACATATTACTTTTGTGATATTGATTTATTTTTTCAACAACATGTTTTAAGTATCGTTCCATATGTTGCTTTTGTTCATTGTTATATTTATAAAACTGTTGCACCACAATGAATTCCTACTGAAAACATTTCCTCTGACAATCTGACTACAGCATACTAAGAGAGTCTGAAGTCAGATTTCTAATAAGAGGAGAAACGCTGGTGCACACAACGTGGACGGCAGATTGAGTGTGAGAGTGAAACAGATCATACTCTCTGATTCATCAATCTGACAGATGCAAACATGCATGATGCACGAACACCAGTGAGTTTACAGAGAGCACAATATGAGTAAGCAATAGCCGTCACATTGATCCTGATTGGCTTCAGGTTGATTATTCTGCGTGACAGATGCACGCCCACACTCTATGCGTTTTTATATGCTTCTGGACTGCGCAAGGTTTATATTTATTTTTGTTTACAGCCTAGTTTCATGCCAGAAGCAGACTCTAGTGGGCAGGTCAATGAGTTTAAAATGACGTGACACCAGTTGGACAACGGGAGGTCTCCAAGGTGGTACCAAAAAGCTTTTTCTGATGGTATTTCTACGTGTGTTTATTTATAATGCAGGTCGAAGTGTTTAAAGGTCCCATGCCGTGGCCATTTCTACTGATCATAATTCCATTGTTGAGGTATACTAGAATACATTTATATTGTGCAATGTTCCAAACTCACATTGGTTTCTCATACAGCATCTCTGTATAGTATGTGTATTCACTCTCAGTCCTAAACGGCTCGTTGGAGCTCCGCCCCCCCCTCCCTGTGAGCCCACTGTGCTCTGATTGGTCAGCTCGCCCACTCTGTTCTGATGAGACCACCACCGCTACAGCTGAACATCAGTGATTATGTGTTACAATGGCGTTTGTTAGCCTGGCTGGGAGGTTGTGTGTGTGCTCAGGCTGAGTTCCGCGGTGTCTCGCCGACCCCACACCAGTGAGCCAGCTCACACTGTCCCACTCCTCGCAGCAGCGAGCCTCGCAACGTCCCGCCGAGTGTGTGTGTGGAAGTCCGCGGATTGGTCCAAACGTAACGGCTCCGCAGATTGGTCCATTTCCATTCAGAGCCGTCACTAAACCCGAAATACGTCACTATACCCAAGAAGTAAACTCCCCAACGAGGCGTTCTGGGGCAGCATAGACAGGTCTCTTCTGTGTTAAGAGTTTTACTCGCTACAGGGTGTACTTTGAGGGTTTGTGACTCTGCAGACCGTTTACATGCAGAAAAACTCTTCATAACACACAAGGGGACGGGTAATAACTGGAAAAGCATGACATGGGACCTTTAATTCGGTAAAGTCAAAAGATCTATGGAATCTACATAAATATAACCTTCAAGACTCAACCGTGACTACATGGCATTCATTAAAGGTATCTGGGCGCTTTATACGAGAGTCATAGCTTTAAATTAAAATGGTATTTTTGATAATCTGTGATGTAGAGATCCTCACCTCCCGGTGGAGACTGGCACACTACTATTAGACGTGTGCTTATAAAAGCAGAATTATGTAAGAATTCACACCGGAGCCAACACGCCAGGGAGAGAGGGACGGAGAGAAAGAGATACAAAAAAAAGGGGGTGGATGAAGAGGGAGGAAGAGGGTGAAGAGGGACTGGAACATCCTCTGGATAAAAACAGAGTTGGAGGTCCTCTCCAACACCTCCACCCATCCTTCAGCTTTGCTTCTACTGTCTTTTTTAAATTAAATTGACTGTTTATTGCATATATTTACATATTCAAACTCATTTCCAATTACATCCCTACCCTGCCAACACTTTATTGAGACAAAGCCAATTATCTAAGTTGACCTAAAAATAAATGTTTCTTACGTATTTATTGCCACAAACGCATCATCACTACTATTAGTAGTACTAGTTTAAAGAATTGGTTATGGTCAGTTTATTGGTTTTTACTCTAGTTGCCTGATTAAACTTAGTTTTGTTTTGGATTCACATTAGAAGTAAAATTAAGGATGTATACACTTAGTTTTTTAGCTTATTTTAAATGTTATGGTTTGATTCAGTTCCACTTCTAGTAGACCTATATAGTGAAATAATAACCTAAAGAGCTTCATTAAACAAAAGTATGTAGACATGGCAGTGAATAATCTCTCCTTCACAACACGTCATTTGCTTCCACCGATCATCTACCATTTTTTTTTGTTTAGCACTGGTTTCATTTTCAGTCCGGTGTCTTGATCAGTACCTGAGCTGCTGGATGAGGTCCTCCCCCTCCTTGATGACGTTGACGGTGACCTGCAGCGTGGTCTGCTGCTGCTGGCCGAAGCGTTTGATCAGATCTTGGACCGCCTCCACCGACTCGGCGTAAACGTCGTCCAGCAGCTCCTTCTGCAGCTCCTCCAGCCACGTCCACAGCTGCAGGAGGACATTCATTAGTACACTGAAAACTATCAACAATACATAACATAGAACAATGTCCGATTGGAAGTTGCGTTGAAGCTCACACTCAACATTTTTGTCACAGGACACACTCACTGTGATCACACGCTTACATGCCAACAATCAGTGACACACATTTGCCGTCACTTTACCAATGATGAAAGCTGTTAAATTACACTCACGGAGGACAGTTCAGATTCTGTAATTGTACGTTCAATTCTAACCTCACCTAATCTGACCCTTACATTAACGCTATCACTACCTGTGTACGGTATAGTGGCCGTTTACTCAATACAAAAAATGTGTCTCACAAATAGCCTTGTAAAACGCAAGTATAAGCAACATTACAATAGGATATATCTACAGTTCGTAGGCCACATAGTCTACAAGGATTTCTTTGTTATGACTTGTGTTGCAAAAAATCCCAAACCTTTTGTAGAGACCTAGTGTAGTTATGGAAAGCAGATAAAACTTAAACGAGGGTTTACTGAAAGCAAATAACTGAGTCACGGCAGATGATTTCCATCCAAATGACATCCAACCTACATCTTTGATTACTGAACCCTATGTAATCCGTCATAAACATTTACGTCCCCCCAAAAAAGTGCTTGATTGGCCCTTAAACCAGGTTTCAAGTGAGGACTTAAAAATGCCCATCTCTGTGTGACTAACTGCATAAAAGCGAAACAACACACACATCAGAATTTAATTAAATTCCTCTTGAGAGCGCTGTGAAAGCTCTCATCCACACAAACAGGCAGCCCACCATCCACTCCAGCGTTACGTCACCCTGCCCACCTCTTTGACGTGTGTGTGGAAGGCGACAGACATGTCCAGCAGGACTTTGCGCTGCTCCACGCGGCGAACAAAGTCTTGGATTCGGTCTTCGAGCTGGTGGGCGGCCTGGTAGATCTCCTCCGGGTCGCACTCTCCCGTCTGGGCCAGCTGCTCAGCCGCCTCCAGCAGCTTGTCTGCATTCGTGTACGTATTCTGGTCGGGGATGGAGAGAGAGATTAGCACAGGAAGACCATAACAATGCAATTAAAATATATTCAGGTTTCATCAGGAGATAGAGAAAGAGTCGAGGCAGAGAGGAATTTCAATCAGGAGACAGGAGGCGTGTGCACTGATAGACGGTGATAGGACACGGAGAAATTGAGAACTAAAGTAGGGGAAGGTGGAGAAACGAATGGCAACGTAGAAAATAAAATCACCACAACTTTGTCAGATTTGAGCAGTAGTTAACGATCCTTTGCTTAATTAATAGCAACAATACTGAAGTATAAAAAGAATCCATAAGAAGAAATAAAATGTCAATTAGTTAAAAGTAAAGTTAAGTCTCAAAAATAAGTTTGAATTTTCCAAGAAGTATCCATGAAATGAAAACAAAAAGAAAGTGCCTCAGATGTGTATTTCAAGTATGTAGTAAATGTACTTTGTTCAAGTAAATTCAACCACCTTTTTAGCTTTAGTACTCATTGAAAAAAAAATTATACTTTTTATAGTCTTGCTTTGAAATTAAATTCCCTAAAACATTTTATGTTTCTTTAAATAATGGTGATTGACAGTGAAAATAATAAAAAAGCACCGTACTATGACTGTGGGCTATTTCCACATAAACAAATGTCATTATCTACACAGTATTTGATATATTGGCTTGAACCAGGTGGGCAGTGAGAGTGAGAGAAAGCTACCTGTGCCACTTCCTCAAAGTCTTCGTGGCGTTTCTGCAGAGCTCGGGCTCGGTGGAGAGACTTCCCCACGCCCGTGTGTTTGCTGAGGAACGCCTCGCCGTGGTTTTCGATCCAGTCCAGCACCTGTGCAGAGGAACCCATGAGAAACAACACACAGATTAGGAAATAGGCGACCACAAGGGGGTGCTCTGAGGTCATAGATAAACAACAAGTATTGACGATAATCGAAATAGTGTGTAAGAGAAGAGGAATGACAGAAATAATAATGAGTATTGTACGAGGCGTTGCACTGAGCCGTTTATTTTTCACACTCCTCTCCCTGCACTCTGTCCTTCGCAGCATTATTGCACAAAAAAGCATCTGCACGGACATATGACCCAATTCAGTTTCCATGGAAACAGTTGCCATGTCAACACCCTCAGGAATGCCCACGATTTTTTTGTTGTGTATCTGTACAATCAAATCTGATTATTGATTATAGCATGAAGTTTTCTTAAGCCTTTATTTACATTCAAGGCATTTATCCAATGTTTCCTTCTAATAAATAAATTAACTCAAGGACATTTTGATAGAAAGCATGGCCTTGCATATTAAAACAGAAGACCCTACTATTTTCAAATTACTATCCAACCCTCTCATGTTGTACAGAAACAAATTGTAATTATGCTTTGTCCTGAATTACAATGTGTGCTTACGAATAAACAAAAACATGCATACAGTGTGTGTGCGTGCGTGCGTGCAGGAGTGTGTGTACCTGTTGGACGTCCTGTTGAAAGACGCAGAGCTGCAGACGTTGGTGAAGCCTCACTTTGCGGTGTTGCCAGATGTTCTCCAGCTGCCTCTGGTGATGCAGCACTTCGTGGATGATGTCCAGGACGTGGTGCACGGCCTTGGAGTAGTTGGCCGATGCTGTGAGCGTATCAGCGCTGCCCGGGGTCAGAGGTCGCTGCAGCTTGTCCAACAGGGCTTTGCCATCTTGGCTCACCTAAAGAACAGTAAGACCTCAAGTGTCATTTATTTTTACTCACAAGACAAACGCTTAGAACGAAAAGAAACTGGCAATAATGTGTTTTGTTTTCGCCTAGAAATATCTACACATGTATAGCAACAGCCAGCAAACTGTGTGTATAATTACCTGTGAAAGCTCACGCTTTGGACGTTTTAATAGAAACGTAAAAAGGGAAATGATAAATGAAAAAGCCACAAATGAGGAATTGGTGAGAAACACAATAAGTAATTTTTCTCACTGTAAAGATGAACTCCTTCAATATTGTCAGCGTAAAAGTAATCATCAATTTCAAATGAAATGTTCAGTATAGAGTTGTACTGTGTAGACTTAAGCTGAAAAAAGCTTTAATTTTGACTTTATCCTACAATATCGTACCAAATCTAATTCTACCCCAAACAATAAGAGCTGTATTTTCCCATTTTGTGAGAGTAGACTTCATTTTAAAGTTGAACTCCCATTAGGAGGGACAAGTTCGAAAAGCTACTGTATGTGAATATTTTTTAAAACAACCAAACCTATCTGTGGGTGACTCGTATAAGTGTATTAAACAACCTAAACAACAAGACTTTTGATGATGTGATGTAAATGCTATTTCCTTCTCCTTATTTGAATGCACGTTAGTATATGTATGTAAAGTGTGTTTTTTACCTCAGAGTAGGCAGCGGTGATGTGTTCGTACAGGCCTTGGTGGTGGTGGATAGCGTCTTCAAGGTCTTGCAGCTCAGAGGGAAGATCCACCTCGCCACACGCCTTACACCACGAGTCCACGTTACTCATGTACTGCAGGGGGAGAACCGCACGCTTCATTTACACACACTCAGAGGTAAAGCGCTTCACATGAGACGCGGTGCTGTATACATCCAGCTGCTCTTCCCAGGAGTCACATGGAAGTCAGACATGCAGGAGTGTATAAGACATAGCCTGAGGAGCATTTTTGATACTATTACTCAGCTTTAAAGATGCACAAATGTCCATATGTATGAGCTCTCTTAAAGCTCTTTCAGGAGAATTATACATGGCTGACTGTGCTGTTCATAGCCTGGGGAAACTTCCTAGAACTTGTAGCACACCCCCGTGGGAGTGAAGGAAAGCAAAGCAATAAGGAACGCTACACTCAAAAAGATGATACAAGTTGAAGCAAAGTCATTATTCCCTTTTAAAGCAGTGATACTTGGAATAAAAAACACGAGAACAACAACGATATAAAATGAACTCCTTAGTTTTGTGTGTAGGGGGAACGTTTGGGGGAAAAAAAAGCTGTTTCTATTTCAGCTCACAAACATAAAAGGCTGGTCTGATGACGGCAATATTCCAGGGTCGGAAAAGTCGTACCACCCATGTTCCCTATTTGGGATTCTGCTTGTGTTTCCCTTTTCCGGCCATGAATTGTTCCATAGCGGCTCGGCGAATGAGCACAGACAGAAATAACAGCTTGATAACAAATGCCGTACTTATATGCTGCAACCCTGTATGTAAATATATGATAATGCGTGCATATGTGAGGCTTTATAGATTTAATGAGGCCGGGGGGGGGGTTTACAACAAAAAAGTGTTTGCATACGTGTCCGTGTGCATCCGTTAAGATAGTGAAGGTCAACACCTCGGCTCGTTCCAGAGGGACATTAATGTGAGTTTTATTGAATTCTATTCCCACTGTTCCTGACTTTAATGACGTGTTGCATTTGGGGACATATGCTTATCTGCTTAGGTTATGCTGAGAATTATTCAAAGATACAATGTGATAATGAATGAGCCTCAGTGATGTTACGTTGTGTCACGTGACTTGAATTTTGGAACACGCTTTGCTTGCGGCGAAAAGAATCCCACCAGACTCCTTGGCCCCTCCAACAGAGGGATGTCCTTGTCCTTTTTCCTTTTCGTCATTTCAAGCGATAAAATCTCGATCAGTCATTTCAAGCGATAAAAACTCTCAATCTTCTCTCGAATTATTTATTTATTTTGGACGGCAAGACGCCCCCCCTGGCAGAAACGCTGGTTGCAGCTGTATATCTGTGTTTTTGAACTCACCTGGTCACACTTCTGGTGGAAGCTGGCGGACATCTCCAGCAGCGTGCTGCGTTCGTCCAGAGCCGCCGCGAAGGCCTTCCACTCCTGTTCCAGCTGACTTGAGATCTGCTTGATCTGCTGCGAGGCGTAGTGACCCGACTCCAGCAGCCGGTTGCCCACCGACATGATGCGGTTTATGTTCACGTACACGTTCTGCACAGAGAGGCGGAGAGACGGGTTCATCAAATGGGGCGAGGGTAGGGCTAGAAATGGTATCGCAATATTTGATGAATCAAAATATGTGATAATTATTATTCTATATCATTCTGAATTAAATATTGTGCAGAGAACTTCAGGCCTAAAACACTGTATTCCACAGACTAGATACAAAAACCTATTTCAATGATAATTGAACAATTAAAAAATGATAATTCCCTCTATTAACGCAAGTTATATCGCAGTTGCAATGTCAGTCATATTAATCGCAATTAGTTCGTTTTTTCAAATGAAGCAGCCCTAGTTGATGGATATTAAGCATCAGATAAGAAAAGAGAGATTTTAAATTAATGTAATTAAAAATAAAAGAACAGTAGAGATGAGAAGATAGGTTTGAGGAAATAGTTAATTGCGCGCTGTAAGTAAACGAAAGGCATAAGATTTTAAATTCACGCCCTAGTTTCTCATCTTAAAGCAGAAACTCTAGCAGCTACATCGATTTCTGCTATCAATGGTTTAGCAATGGTTATGTAATACAGACTGTGGATACAGAATATTATTACTGGCTGCTAATGCAAAGAAAACGTGTGTATGCACAGAAGCATAGGCTGCTCCCAACAAACACTCAAACACAGTACTAGAGGTTGGCGCTAAGTGCACAACTGTATGATTACAGAGTGCAGGGCAAGGGCCTCGATACTCCAAGTGGGCGGATCAGCATCACCTCCTGCTGGGAGTCTGTGTACATCTTACCATGCAGTTCATAGCGAAGTGGTTGTGCTGGGTTTGCAGCTCTATAGCGTGGGGGTGGTTGTTGCCAATCTCTGTGTAGCCTGCCAGGAACAAACCCTTGTTGTGCATGATCCAGTCAAACATCTAAAGCACGGGGAATGACAGAAATAAAAAAAACATGTTAGCCAAATGAAAACACAAGTTACGGGATCACCATTAACCTGCATGGATCATTGCAAACAGCAGGTGAAGATAAACAGTCGCCACTTAGATGTGTGTGTGTGTGTGTGTGTGTGTGTGTGTGTGTGTGTGTGTGTGTGTGTGTGTGTGTGTGTGTGTGTGTGTGTGTGTGTGTGTCATCTTTCCAGGCCAGATACAGAGAAATGGACTGCCGCTATTAAGAGTATCCTCTCAGGCTCTCCTCGAGAACAAACTCGTGGCCTATGGTGTCCTAGCAACAAGCTCCTACGACTGCAGCGTATCCAAGACTGCAGCTCCTTCTCTCTCTGTTGCTGCAACCTGCTTTCTTATTCTACTCCCTCGAACATGGATCTCTGAATTCCTCTCCCCCTGTCTCTTTCTATTCTGCGCTGCAGCTGTCATCACCTGAGCGTCTGGGAGGCAGCCAGAGAAGGTGGCTTTGAAGCTGAAGGAGCTCTCCTCCATCTTCCTGTCTGTCACAGTGGGATGTGGTGCCAGGGTGCAGCTGTTCAGATTTTACCTCCCGTTTTATTCCAGCAATAAAGTTCAAGCCACTTTTAAAGCTCGCAATATATCATGTTTTGCCCACTGGGGGTTTGTAAATAGAAAGCAATATAGTTTGTCATGTCATTCAGTTTCTCGCGGTTAGGATTACAACGTTATTCATCGTTCAGGAGGAATTTCAAGGAGCTGAACTATCTGCTGGCGTCTACTCCTCTCCTAAACAAATTGACCCAGTGATTCAAAGTACTGAAAACCTTGAATGAAGCAGTTTGGTTTTTAAAAAAATGGATCTTCTCACAATGCTATTTGGGGTTTGCTCCGCTTGTTTTTCTGATAACTTCAAATCCAGGCGTTAAGGAGGGTATTACTTCGAGCCGAAATACCTGCAGAGGACTACTCCTTCTCAATCAAACCATTCAATGTGACTAAAACCTTTAAAAACACTGAGTAAAGCAGTTATACATTAAGACATCTATGTTTATTTAAGGATGTTTTGTTTAGCGTAACCTTACTCTGGTTAAAATATATGGTTAAAAACACTTAAGATTCAAGTCTGTTATATGACCGTGGCTTAAAACTGGATAAAAGTGTAACAACTTCTGTACAGCAACCGTAACGCGTGTTCAAAGAGCATCACCTTTACAAACGACAAAATGAAACAGAACAATAACCTGAAATTGTTGGAACATTTGGAATGATGTAGGAACCCAACTTAACAAAAGATATACTATAACTAGTATTTCTTTTCATTATTATTGAATGGAGAAAGCTACATAATGATATCTTAAAGGCCAAAATAAAGGCGTTGTGCTGTGTCCATATCCAGCATAAATCAATGCACTCTCTCTGGGCGTAATGAAGTTTTTGTTTTTATTGGCAGTTGTCCGCCTCACAGTGATCCCCAGCTGAGGCTATATGGATTATCACTACACCACTGCACATGCTGTATGACACCTCTCCCCCCTCTACTC